GAAGACCGGTCTGTTGGAATCAGCCTTTGGCTTGTATGCTTCCTTCCTCCCCAACTGCAAAGAGGAGATCAGAAGCACTAGCTTCTACTTCTCACTAGTCAGAGTTGTGTTTGGTGTCCAAAGCTTGGGGAACCCTGGCTAGTTTAAATGGTGACCTGTTTGAACAAGCTAGAATGAAAACATGGTTTCTGAACCTGGCTCCTTAATGCATGGTAGAACCTCCACAAAGATATCCAGCTCCCCATTCAGACTTTCCCTAACATATGGAGGCCTGAAATTATAGTCAGGTGAGCAGGTATAATGTTGAGTCCAAGTGCTGTGGGCCCAATGTCATGATCCTGGCCTCAAGCTCAGAGCCACAGGAGGATGGGCCAGCCAAACCCGAGGCTGTTGTAGTAGTGGCTGAGGAGCCGAACCACGTTCTGATATCATCCAAGCCCCGTATGTTTAAGGAGTTGAATACTTCCTGCTCCACTATGCCAGCTCACTAGACAGGAGGTCACAGAAAGAAGAGAAAAAGATGCTGTAAGGGGTTGGACCTTGATGAGTTGCAGACTTCAGGCGGGAAAGGGAAGCTTGGGTGTGATACACCAAATGAAGGGATTCATAAGGCCTTAGTTCAACTTCCAGTCTTTATTAGAGCAAATTGATCACTTCTCCAGTGATGTGGAATAGAATGCTTTCCCACTGAATTTTCCCCATGGGCAATTTTCCATGTCATAAGTTCCTTAGTAAAAATAAATGGGCATAATGTCCACATTTCCATTTTCTACATTTCCTAAACAAGGAATACATCACCCCGTGCTGAGGAGGTAGGCTTCTTTACTCCATTACTCTGTGTTTAGAGTTGTAGGGATTGTCATTTTGGCCCTGGGCTGCCAAGGTGCTTGGGGGCCTATGTCCAAACAGCTGCCTGTCTCTGGAGAGAAAGCCTGGCTGAATTTGGAGGTGAAGGAGAAGGGGGGGATTGTCCCATTGAACCAGGCTGCCAATGCCCTCTGAGCCTCACTGCAACTAGAAGAATATTCCTAGCCACTGCCGTCACCCCTGCCTTAAGCCTGGGAGCTGGAGTGGGGAGAAGGACACAGTTCAAGGTCAGGAAGATATCAAAAGGCGAAGACTTCCTAGCATTCCTAGATGTTGATTTGGCTAGCAAAGCCAGTGTGGTGTAGCGGGTAAGAGCGTGGGACTGGGACTCAGGCGATCTGGGTTCTAGTCCCCACTCAGCCATGGAGCCAACTGGGTGACTCTGGGCCAGTCACAGACTCTCAGCCCAGCCTACCTCACAGGGTTGTTGTGGGGATAAGATGGAGGAGGAGAATGATGTAAGCTGCCTTGAACCCTTTGTAGGAAAAAGGCAGGATATAAATTGGAAAATAATTTTTTAAACAATGAGATCCCTATGCTGCTCCTTTTGTCTCCTCTTTCTCTCCCCTTGTTGTAATTACATGTTATCATTAACTAAATAATGAACCATCTACCATTTAACTGAAAGAATTTTTAAAGCCTGCTGGGAGGAATAATTCTGGCTCTATTTAACAAATGAACTTTTGCTTCTTCTGGCACAAGCAATTTGTTCACTGTTTCATTTGTATACCTTTGTCAGATTGAGTTTGAGACTTACCTAAGGAAACAATTCCATTCATTTGTTTATTTTGTGGCCCTTAGGTTACTCTGAAATTTAATGCACGCTGGACCACAGATGAGCAGCTTCTTGCAGTTCAAGGTAAGTACTTACTGCAAATCTCCATATATGTATTTATCTATTTCAGATAATTTCTATATCACTAAGAATCCTGAAGAGGTTTATGAGATAAAGTAAACACAGTGAAAACAGTTATTAAAACAATGAAGCAAAAAATCTCCTTAAGATAACCAGGGGTAGTTGACAGAACTAGCAGTGAAGGAAATGCATGGGGTGGGCAGAAGGTAGATCTCCATATGTTTGGATTTCAACTCCCAGAACCCTGTCAGTATGGCCAATGGTCAGGAATGCTGGGAGCTGGAATTCAAAAGCTGGAGACCTAGTTTCTGCCCATGCCAATTTAAGTCATTGGTGGAAACATCCACGATAGGAGCCCAGTGAGGAGATCATTTCATAGAATCATAGAGTTGGAAGGGGCCATGAAGGCCATCAGGTCCAACCCTCTGCTCTTGCAGGACACCAAGTCACACCATCCCACTCAGAGGGCTGTCCAACTTCTTTTTGAATGTCTCTAGTGTAGGAGACCCCGCCACCTCTCTAGGCAGCTGGTTCTACTGTTGTATTGCTCTGACAGTGAGGAACCTTATCCTGATGTCCAGCCTGAATCTGGGTTGTCTCAACTTATTTATTTATTTTATTTATTTATTAAAACATTTTTAATAAATTTTAAAATTTTATTTTAACTTGAATTAAATTAACTTGAATTAAATTTTAACATTTTAACTTGAATTGATTATTCCATGTCCTACACTCTGGCATCAGCAAGAAGAGATCTTGACATTCCTCTTTGTGACAGCCTTTGAGGTGCTTATAGAGGGATATCATGTGCCCCCCCCCCAGTCTTCTCAAACTGAACATGCCCAGTTCTCCCAGTCTCTCCTCATTGGGCAGTGTTTCCAAACCCTGAATCCTTTTTGTTGCCCTCCTCTGGACCCTTTCTAATTTTTCTGCATCTTTCTTAAATTCTTGAAAATGGTCCAAATACTGCCAGACTTATGATGGGATCCAGTTGTTATTCCCACATAACACTGGTCCTCTATCAGCTACACTAGTCCCCAATTGAAGTCCCAGCCCAGTTTAAGGTGCTGGTATTGACCTATAAAGCCATAAATGGTTTCGGACCAGGATACCTGAAGGAAGGTCTTCTACCCTATATGCCCTCCTGCCCCTTAAGATCAGAGGCCCTCCTCCGGGAACCCTCCTTGAAGGAGGTTAGGAGAGTGAATACCCTGAGGAGGGCCTTCTCCACGGTGGCGCCCTGACTGTGGAATGCGCTCCCCAGAGAGGTCTGCCTAGTGCCAACATTATATTCTTTCCAATTGCCCGGCATTTTAATATTTAAATATTTTTAATGGTCATGCTCAGTCACATTTTATTTTATTACACTTGTTGTATTTGTTTTGTTTATTTATTGTTATGTTTAATTATGTTGTAAGCCATCCTGAGATATTTGTTAAGGACAGGATAAAAATATTTTAAGTAAATAAATCTTGATGCCCAGAACTGGATGCAGTATTCCAGATGAGGTCTGACTAATGAGGAGTATAGAGGGACATGTTGGTATCACAAGTGAGAAGTCCCTCTGCGCCACAGGCAAACAACTGTTTGTATCCTGGGCTATAGCACCTAAATGCTCTCCATCAGAATGTAGTAACAGGGGCAGGATGTCAAAGAGGAAAGAATCTCTTGGTGGGTGTGGCTCCACAACAGAAAACTTTTTCATTGATCAGTGTATCGGCCTTCCCACTTGCCTTGCACCTGGAAGTCTCAGGCTTGGTGCAGGTTTATAGGCTACAGCTGGAGCAGTTCCATTGTGCCCAACCCTAATTTAAGTCCCATTCATTTCAATAGATCTACTCTAAATAATATGCGTATTGGAGTTCAGGCTATGTTTTGTATTTATTTCTCTTTTTAATCATAGTGTTACAGAGCGTTTTTAAAATTACAGAATATACATGGCCTTGGATATATTCCTTAAATCATTGGGTGACTTTTAAGTTTTGTATACTCTGGCCTGACTGTTGTAATAGGATTCATTTGTCCCATCCCTACCTAGTCAATCCCCCACCAAAGACTAGAATGTATTTCTGGTGATGCTGACTAAGTACTGTTGACCAGAGGAGTCCTTGATTTAATTCCTCAACCATCCCATCATTTTTCATTCTGGTACGCTGCAATCATTGCAGATTCAGCTTTTGCCAAGTGTTCTTTAACTATAGTCTCCGTATTTAGGAAGCTTTTGGCTGCCAGTGAACTACCTACAACTGCTTACATGCACAATCCTATTTGTGTCTAGACAGAAAAATGTCCTACAACTTCCAGCATGCCTCAGCCAGACATGCTGGCTGGGATTTGTACTCCCTCATGAACTTCAAATAAAGCATACACCAAAATTGTTCAACCTCTTATGAATTTATGAGTTCAGCCTCCGAGTTTATGCTATCAGAATTTAGTAAGAGAGAATATTTGATCATTTTTCATTTTATTAAAATATTTTCTTGCATCACTTCAAAATATAACACATTTTATAGATAAATAGCATTCCTAATTATAAAGTGGGGACATTGCTACAGATTTCTAGATCTTAGTAGCTTAACAGGAAATAGTATATCCTAATTATCAAGTTTCCTGTTCGTCTCTGAATACAGAAGGCTCGCGATCTTGGAAGATGATCTCTTACTCCAGAATCAACACATACCATTTTGTGTAGAGGTTACCACATTACTAATCCATTTTAGAGGATTATGCTAATCAGATGGTATATAAATGCTTTAAATAATATTATCTGCTCTCTTATAAATTAGGGCGTACAGTTGAATGATGTAGCCAATGTCCTTGTTGACTAGATTACTGGAGTTGCAGTCCAACACGTGGTGAGGGAAATCTGCAGTAGGGTGTTGGACTATAACTGGAAAGACTTGGGTTCAGATTTCCATTCAGCTTTGAAGTTCACTGGATGATCTTGGGTCTCCCACTGTTGCTCAACTTAATGTGCCTCAGAGTGTGGTTAGAACACAGTGGGGATGAGCATGTACAGCTCTGAGCTCTCTAGAGAAGGAGCAGGATTGAAATGCAATGATGATACAGTGCTGTAACAATGCTTAGCGCAAGCTTCATGCACTTTTTACCCTTTCATGATCATTGCAACATGGACACTTGTTTCTTTTACAGCAATCAGGAAATACGGTCGTGACTTTCAAGCAATCTCTGATGTGATTGGGAACAAGTCAGTGGTGCAAGTGAAAAACTTTTTTGTAAATTACCGGCGGCGTTTTAACATAGATGAAGTTCTACAGGAATGGGAAGCAGAGCATGGCAAGGAAGAAACGAATGGAACCAGTGCACAGAAACCTGTAAAATCACCAGATAATAATACCATTAAAGTGTCTGAAGAAGAGGAGGAGGTAGGTGGCTTTTGTTTTTGTTTTTAACTTGATGTCAGCCATCATTTACTTGTCAACCCTGGATTGTTTGTTTGGCAGAACCAATGCCCATTATGGGTAGCATTATGCTTACCATGCTTCTGGGAGGCTGGGCAGTCGTATATTGTCAGTTATCTTCCCATAATTTTGACATGCTCAAATACTGTCAATTATTCAGTGAGTTAAAGAATGGTCTCAAAACTTGGCAAATGAGAGAAAAGTTTGATCTGCTGTGTAAAATTTAAAAAAGAACACAAGAAGCATAGCATATGACGATCTGCTCTCTAGCATTGGCCTCCCTCTTGCTTATTCTTTTCATATTTGAAAACCAATTTGTGTTTTGGTTGCTATATTTTTAAATAACTATTTTATACAATTGTGATGCTTCATGGGTTCTAATGCACGGTTTGAGCTTTTTTGCCCAAAGAACTAATGTGAGTAAGTATTTTCGGTCCGCAGAGATTTCAAAATCCAATACCAGGTCCCCTGAGGGTCCACTTTTTGCAGTCTGAACACACAGTCCAGTAACTGTGTCTAATCAGGGTAGAGAATGATGTTCCCCTTATACTGTTGGGAAGGAATGAGGCAGTTGTTCCTGGTGCACATTTCAGGAGCAGGGTGACACAGACTTTTCAGATGGAGGGGAGGAGGCTTGGGAAATGAGGGCTGCACAGGTCAAGACGGAAGCGAAGGGACAGCTTATCTCAAGGCCAGTGTCTTCAGGGGTTCAGGCAGGCCCTGGGCACAGCTGGAGTCTCAAGTGCTGGGAGCAGGTGTGGGGCAGGAGCCAGATGAGCCTGCTGCATGCCTTGACCCCATGACACAGCATTGGGAGAGAATGGCTAGCCAGCTGGAGGGGCTGTGTGCAGGCCAGGAGGCTTGCCCAGTTCCCGAAGGACACTCCAGAGGGCTGGGGTCCAGGGTTCCTCAAAAGAAGGGTTCTTAGAAGTAGTTTCTAGTCTAGGTTCAGCTAACTGTAGTTTGCTTGGATGTATATTGGAAATAAACAGCTTCTGCCAAAGAACAGTCTGTTCTTTGAAAGAGAGTACAGGGACCCCAGTTCCTGACATACACCCTCAATACAGAGAGACTTTGCCACTACTACTGTTCCAGAGAGATTGGTTATTGTGCTCTTGGCTTAGAATCAGGACTCATCCAGACAGGTTTAAATGAGATGAATCAAGGTATGACAAATTGATTGCCCAGGTAAACCTATGTATTTGGCAAAGTGTTATTGTTCTGAAGGTTTGTTACAGTTTAAGACATATTTGAGGGTGGGCTGGGTACATTCAGATTACTTTTTCAAGCAATGTAGTACGCATTTAGCAGTCAGAGACAGTAACCCAGCCAGAGACTTCTTTTTAAGCTCCCCCGCCCCTTTAAGCAGCTTTGGTTTCTTCCCTTTCCAAGAGCAGCATGTATCTTTCTCCCCAGAGTGCATCTGAGAAAGGACTCTACGCTCATGGGCCTTCTTGAGATGCATTATTGGGGAGACAGGGACCACCAGTGCAGCTGCATGAAAGCAGTAGCATAGTAGCAGAAACTATTTAAAGCAAAGGAGAAAGTGGTATGTAGCAGTGGGGGGGGGGGGGGTTAAAAGGAAAGCAGTGCTGATGGTTGTGGAATATCATCAAAAGTTTTCCATCCTGTTTATAGTTCTCCTTTGCTTTTTGGTTCCCCCTCCTGAAGAAATTCTCACAAGAATGCTTGATGTAGACCTGAATGAAAGCAAGTGAGCCAGGCCTACTTTTGACACTTTTCCCACCAGACACCAGGAGCTTTCTGTGTGACCCCATGTCAAAATTTATCTAGATTTTTCTCTACAAACTATGACACATAATGGGGATGATGTATGGGAATCAGGACATCCATCTTCCTTTCCAGTTCCCTGAGTTCTTGGGGTAACTAGCCATCTAAGCATGACTTAGAAGTTTCATTTTGCTTTTAATTGATAGAACAGTTAAAATCCATTGGTTTGCACATGTTATTGTTCAAATAGTAGAAAATGTTCTGGGTGAAGTATTCTATTCTGGGAGAAACATTTTCTCAGTAGGATGATTTTTTAGGTTTTAGTGATGCACTTAACATGGGGCTGCTCTGTTCTAATAGTGATAGGGAACCAGGAACATATTCAGCCACTATAGTGTGAAATGAACTGGCACCAGTTAGTCTTTGCCCAACGTTCAAGAGCTGGCTTTGAGCTTTAAATGTCTCAGTGTCTTAGAACCTGCATTGTATAGACTGCCTGTCCCGATGAGCCTCCCAGCCCCATTAAGAACGGAATCCTGCTCAGAGTCCCCTAAATTGAGGGATTAAGTCTACTATGGGAAGCTCCCACCTCTCTTTTTTGATGTTGATGCCCCAGAGCTGTGTAAAAAGCTCCCACAGGATGCCTGCCAAAGCATTTCTCCTACTTTTCAGGGGAAAGTGTTTAGCCCAACTTAAAACTTTCATTTCATGTCAGAATATTCTTTCGAGTTTCTTAATAACTGCATTTCCAATAACATTGCGTGCTACTATATTTTTAAGTCATTTGTTTGACTTTTGTTTTATACTGTGAGTTCAATATGCATGGTTTTTATATTGTTTTAACATGGTTGCACATTATCTCAAACATATGAATGAGCAGTAATAGAAATGTGTAAATATAAGCCCAGGGGGGATCTGACATTTCTACAGAACATGCTTTTCTCCTCCTTCCACTTCTGCTGAACTGAACATCACACCACTTAGGACAGTTTGCTTTTGTTTGTTTGTTGGCTGAGAAATGCATGAATGAAGAATTTGAGCAGATAGTAACTGCTGGCTCCTTGCTCTCATGTCAGCTGTCTGTGGATTCTTCTTTTTTGTCTTGTACTATCTTTGGTTCCTTGGGGACAGAAAAAAGGCTTGATTGTGTAATATTTTTGTGGTTTTTTTCCTCCTTACCACCTCCATTTTTCTCTTCTTCCCCAGGCTACTTCTGTTTTGGATGTCAGATACGCCACTGCTTCTTGAGAAACTGAGGTAGCCAAGAACAATTTTATGTTTTGACTACTGTGTTCGCCACAATATCAGGTATTAGCAAAACCTCAGACAGCCATCTGCATCATATCTCTGTGGACAAGCAGCTATTACCAAAAAAGAGAGGGAGGGAGAGAGAATGAACAGATCACAAACAAAAGGCAAACAATTCTGCTCCTGTGCTATATTTGCCTTAATCTTCTCCTCATTCCTCCACATGGCCGCCATTGACACTTCTACAATTCCTAGAACAACTTCTTGGTTTTCAGTGATGGTTCCTATTATTCAGCTATTCCTCAAACCATCTACACACCAGTGTGTTAAGCCACGATCAGCCAACCTTTCTTCTCTTTCCCTTGCTCAGAAGTTACCTCCAGGCAGCAGGGACGTTTCTAAAACTTGCCTAATAGGGTATTAGTATATATTTCTATATGGCCTTGTGTGACTTTGGCTTTTTTTCCTGATGTAATCATTATTCATAAGATGACTTTTTCTTTTTATGGGTGAGCTCTCTGTTAAGAAAAGTGCTGTGCATCTCTCATCTCTCAGCTTGTCTGGCATTTTCTCTGAAGTCAGGGGAGATGGAGAGGAGAGATAATTTCAAAGATGCAACGGTAGTTTACTGGCCCCCCAGCGTGTACAACTCTTGTGGCTGTGTTCAACTCCTTTTTAGGAAGCTCACTGATTTTAATTGTGATTTTTATGATTATTATGATTATTGTAATGGGCCTTTTTATTTAGTGCAAAAGGGAATGTGCCGCCTGTAATCTGCTTTGATATAACACAGACGCGTGCGCACACAGAGAGCATTCAGCATAATTGCATTATATTGTCCAGATGAATTCCAATACAATTGAGTTTCTTTGACCATTTGGGGATTAAGGCAGAACCACAGCTTTTTATATGGAAATTCTGGCATATTCCTCTCTTCTTAAAGTGTAGACCTTTCACCTCTTTGAGTCTGCACATTACTTGTAGAGATGGGAGCTTGGTCATGGCATTACAGTACAGATGACAAATGTAAAACAGGGAGGTTTGTTCCTTAAATTTGCACAGGGGAGACTCCAGAGTAATTTTCCTGTCCTACATTTTATTCTCATTCTTCCCATCTCCAGAAATCCTTTTTGATAGTATTTTAGCACAGCCTTCCCCAGTCTAGTACCTCTTCATAGGTGTTAGACTGCAACATCCATGATTTCCAGCCAGCGTGACCATTGGGCCTTGGGTACCAGTTTGGGAAACCTCCTGTAATATCATGCAAGCTGCTGGAGCTTGCTATAGTGTGGTTCCTTCCAATATCGGAAGCCCAGGTGTGAGGGCAGAGAGGCCACCATGGCAACTTTCCATTCCAGTATTGCACTTCCTAGGATCTGGAATGATGCTGGCATGAGAAGTAGCATTGGTAGCTCTTCTCCTTCTGATCCTAGCAGCATGGGAGGCCCTCTGCACCACCTGGGCAACAACCAAAGGGGCCAATCATCTGAAAACGTAGAAGATAGTATTTTTGTCAGTGAATCTCTTGTGCCTCTATAAAATTAAGTTAATATTTTAATTGGGAAAGTCTAGTGGTTATATTTGTTTTCTTCCCATTAACTTTGTCATTAGATGACTTTTAATATAGAACTCAAATTTAAATGAAGTTACAATCTCAGTATGTATTGGAATAATGAATGGTCCTTAGGTAGAAAAGTGATATAAATTCTATTGGGGTAGGAGCTCTGTGCCCTTTCCTTGCAGCCCCATTAGTTTAATGTTGGTCTCCACCAACTAGAATTGATCTACATCTATTAACGTATCCACCAGTTAAAATTAATTAAACTTTGCAAACAAATTCATGTTTTGTTTGGTATACCAGGCACCACCAAAATTATATCTTGGGGACGGGGAGGGATGCCCAATCGCATCTGTTTTTTTAAGGTAACGTAAATGAAACTATTTTTAGAAGGCCCTATCCCTTCCATTTTGATAATTATACACATGTGAGCACATACATGTGCACACACAGTTGAAGCACAAGAGGTTTATTCCATAACTGTACTCCTAGATTATCATCCTAACCACTGCTATGAACTTTGACAGCACTGATGATTCTAAAAAGAATTATTCTGGGAGATTTCCACTATGCATGAGAAGGCAGAACTGCACTTTAGCATCCTTTCCAATAGCTGCCACCAGATGAGGATAGCCATTAACAAGAAGGCATTTGTGGAGGTCACTCCCAGTTCCTACACATAGCAATAGAACAAGCACTTGCCCCTTCGGATGTGATTCTTTAGAACAACTTTTCCCAACTTGGTGCCCCTCAGCTGCGTTGAACTACATTTCCCAGCACCCCAGCCAGCAGCTGGGGATGGTGGGAGGAACAGTCCAGCCCAGCCAGTCATTCTAAGGTGGCGAAGGCTAGCTCATAGGTGCTTTGCCAGCCACTGATTTCAAAACTGTTTTTTGCCAGAGGAAGGCACCTTTTAAACAAAAGCTGTTCCCGTCTTCATAAGTAGCTAACAAAAGTCCAGATAGGAAGGAACCTGTTACTCTATCCAGTGTAAAAAATAGAGAGGAAGTAATAGATAATGCCGAATAATAATCTAAAACCGCCTTCTTCAATGTGGTGTCCACCAGATGGCTTAGGCAGCATCTCCCATCATTTCTAGCTGGCTGGGAATGATGGGAGATGCAGCATGAGCCACCTGGAGGGCACCACATTGGAGAAGGCTGATACGCAACAGGGGAAACAAGCCCTTTAAATAAAAAGCCTGACTAGTCTAATAAAGGAAGAGAGAATGGAAAGATATTAGAATGCAAATGATAAAATCATTGTACCCCTCCTTAATTAGCTCCTACGTGACACTTTGTGCCTGTGATATCTGATTTATATTCCCCGCTCTGGGAAGTCTTTTTTAAAATCAATTCCTAGTCTATGTATGTAAAATGGAATCTGTCCTGCCAGGGAAATGTATATAAAAACACTTTCCTCCATGTGTTTTGTTGAAGAATTGGCATATTTTAACCATATTTTAAAGATGGATTCTGGGATGCCACCTAGTCATTTTAGGAGTGGTGGGTCATAAAATGATCTGTTTTTAAAACTTAATTGCGATAGTAGGCACTGTGCAATTGTATAAAATTAGAAATATTTCTTTGTAAATGTACCTGTTTTATATTAAATTAGCAAAGGATATGAGAGCCAGATGGGTATCGCTTGAGTCTGCCTCAAAGCCATGCTGGTAAAGGTTTAAAATGTATGTTTATTATATGACATATGTATTGCTGGACTGTATTACTTCAGACTGCAGGTGTGTGTTAGAGGGCTGAATATAAGAAAATGTATATTTGAAAGTTAACTTGCAATTATTATTTTTACATTACCCATCGTCGTCATCAGCCATTCAGTTGATTCCAGCCCTTGGCTCGCTATGGCTTATTGCTCTTCATGCCCCTCTGCCTCACACGCTTCCTTAAGATCACCACGTACATCCCTGTGTCTTTAAATTACCAGAACCTATAAAATGCTGATGTTAGGGAAGAGATTAGGACAGTCTAAACCTTCCTGACATGCTAAGTTTATATATGTAAAAATATTTATGAGGGGTGATGTTCTGTGTACCTTCTATAGCCAGGGATACACATGCAGTAATTTTCTTGGCTTTTCTCAGCATGGTGCTTCCCAGCTGTTTTGAATTACCAAGGTGTGTTAGCCAGAGGGCATGGCCAAATGATTAGAAGTGGTGGGAATTGTAGTCCAACACATCTGGAGAATACCGAGCTGGGGAAGCTTGACTTAGATTAAACGTGAGTTAGAAACCAGAAGTGTCTTCTTTGAGAAGAATGCAGTACTTCTGTGAGTCTGGTTGAGGTACTGCATTGAAAATTTATACCAAACACTTGAGAGAAAAATTTCTGTATCATTCTATTCCGATGTATAGGTTTCCTAAAACAGATTTACAATTAACTTTGTTCACCTTTTGTATTAATTTCCATTTCATAAATGAGTATTTCATTTTCTTTAGGAGATATCATTACTAACACCGTCTTTTGATTCCATGCCATGCTGCACTGGCACAGGGGAGTTTGCAGAACTGGATTTCCCTACTCTCTTTCTGAACAGCCCCACAGCCCCTGAAAAATGCTTCATGGGGGTCCTCCTGAACCAAAGAGGTGAGGGATTTGAAAAGGATCCCCAAAGATTGACTGGTGAGCAGAAGGTATGCCAGCTAGCAGAATGTCACTGTCAAATATGACACACACACTCAGGCCTGAGTAAGGCAAATCTCAGCAAAACCAGAAGTTAAGTAGGTGAACAGTTGCTAGAATACGGATAAAAACTGAGTCACGTTTTTCATTATCCTGTGTGTGACAGTTCTGACATTTGTTCCTCTGCCTGCAACCTGAAGTGGTACAGTTCATCCCTAAGGCCACTGATGATGCCCTTTGGCTCTGGGTGCATGTCTCTGTCTTTGGTAAATCTATGAAGCAAAATGATCAGAAAAAGACTTGGTTTTGGCTTGATCCCCTGTGGAAGTTGGTGCAGAATCCCTCTGTGAGGAAGATAAATTATGTATATTCTCTCACCTCTTCATTGCAATAGAATAGCATTGATTTTTTTCCCATTAATTGAGCTATGCCTGCAACTGTTTCATTATGAAATAGAATAAATTATTTAGGTTTCAGTTTTTTAAAAAACTGGTCTTCTGTATGGAAAGACTTCAATTTTGTTGTTCAAACATTATTTCAATCAAGGTTTTGCGTTCTGATTTAGAGGGGTCCACAAAGATTACTACATAATATGTAATATTCACTTAAATCTTGTTCTTCTTAAACTATCAATGTGAATGTTATAATTATATATATATTGTGGAAGATGGGAAATTTTATTTCTTCCTAAGTATAAGTTATTATGCATAACTATGGTATCGCTATGAAAAAGTGGTACTTTTTAAAAAACACAAAACAAAACATTTAGTTTTAGAAATCTTAACAAATGTATTGTATATGCACCAGAATTTTACATTTATTCTATTTAATTTTTAAATGTAGTTGTGTAACATGCTAGTAATTTTTCCATCGTATTCCCTCCACCCCCTCTACTTTATTCATCAGAATACCTTGTTACTTGAATATTCTTAACTGGTCTGAAACACAGTAAAATTCTGTAATCTGAAGCCAAGGCAGGGAGGGCTTATATAATGTGTAGCGCTTAACAGTTTCTGGCAACATGGTACAATCATATCCCCAGTAGCAGCTTCAGCTAGTAATGCAGTTGCATGTATACACATACATCCTCTCTTCAGGAATATAAACATCCATTTAGTGAAGTCCCCTTTTCTGAACTGAACCCATGGGAGTCCCTTTGGACACCTGTGTTCCATGCGTATTCTCAATATGGAGGAAGGAGGGGGTATCACATCCCCGGCCCTCCCCATGGCTGCTGTGTGGTGGCTATCCGCTCGTTTGGTGGGGGGTGTGAAAAGGGACGTTTCCCCGTGTTCAGCTAAACATTGGCAGGAGTTTCAGTGTGACCAAGGGGTCCTTGTCACCTTGAACTCCCCACACATGGCAGGTATGAAGAGGGTGATGCTCTGTCTGCTTTTCTGCTGAGTGGTATCTTTCTGGCCTGGTGCTCAGCCAGTTCTGTGCGCCTCCCTGGAAGTCAGGAAGCATCCTGCCTTCTCCTGTAATATGGGATCCAGGAGTTAGCTTAGGGATGGAAATACCTGTGAGCCTGGAGAAACTAATACTGACCTTTCACCCTTCCACTCTACAACCTCAAGAGCTTAGCTAGAAGATGAATCAGGAATGTAACACACGGGGTGCTTGGTCTGTATTCTAGCCACCCCAATTTAGAAAACACTGCTGTGTGAATTGCTAAGGTCCGTGTATAATGCTGGCTGGGTGGGGTTTTATGTATATATATATTTTTAGGATAACCAACCAATGCAAGAAAATCATCCTTCTGAAACTAAACAGTTGTCATGCAACGTCAGAGATTAGTGAATTTGCCTATGTTAATTTTATTCAGTTTCTTATTTTTCCAACCTTCAGTTTGGCCCAGTCACACATCAGTGTAGGATTTTATTTTTCAAAGTCCTCACAAATTTTTCTTGCAATTTTGCGCTAATGTTTTGCTAATGTATACATTTTTTGCTAGTGATTTCTCCTAAAACAACATGTTTCCATCCATTATGTACATTTTTGTGTATGCTTTTCCATAGTGTATGGATTTGTGCATAGCTTCCCACAATGTGTGCATATTTATTTATTTTATTATTATTATTGTGGAGAAATGTAGCACTAAATTTGGGTAAGTGCAAATTTCAGTGTGCAACTATGTTGCGGTTTGCTCATTGTTTCAGCAGGTGCACAATTTGTAAGTGCGTAAGATTTGGACAGAATGAATTTCTCACCTAGCTCTTTAAATGATGAATCGGGAGACCTGCAGTTTGAAAAAAAAGCAACATCTCAAGTTGTCTCAAGCTCAAGAAACTAGCTTCTTTGAACTTGGATATTTGGTTTTTAAAAAGGACAAAATAGCAAATCTGAAGCAATTTCCTTCCTATTTTAAGGACCTTTTGAAACCTGTCTAAAACACACTCATTGCCACTTTAACTCTGTGACCATTTCAATTCCATGCCCCCTTTCCCCAGTAAAATGCATCTTTGGTGTTTTTGCACCCCAAATAATGAGCCAAGTTTTGTTAGCCTAACTTGCTTACTACATGACTAAGTGTAAGGACTTTATAATTAAATAAAAAAAAACAACCCTCCCATCAATTTAGCAAAGTAGAAAAAAAAAAGTCATGAGAGAGAATTTTTTGGGGAGTCTATATTTTTGAAGCATTTCAAGAGGGATTAAAATGAGTCTCACTATTTTAATGAAAAAGTCACAGTTTTATTAGTTTGGGTTTGTTTAGTTAGTTGTGCAATGTCCCAAACCCCTCATGCTTTCCTCTGCTCCCTGGAAACAATGCAGCTTTTTTCCTCTGGGCACAATCCACCATGCACTGGCATACTGCATCGCCTCCATTGTTTTCTATGGGGTCTGTGCAAGAATTCCTTGGTTGTAAGCTTCCCTGGAACAAAGAGCAGCTGTATATTAGCCATGCCTGTTGGATTGATGTAAAGCACAACTACAGCGAAAGCTACAGTTCTGAAGACAGAAGGTCAGTATATGTCTATGCATGTTGTATATTCATGAGTGTTTACATTCATATTCTCCTCAAATTTAAATTTATACTGGAGTGTATAGTATTCCATTATGTAGATTTTATCAATTTTGTTAAATTCTCCTAGACAGCTTACAGGATTCCTGCTCCAAAATTTTATGATGTATAATGTTAAGTTTGCAAATATAATACAATTCTGTATAGCCTTTGAAGTGATAAGAAATTATGCATTGGGGCTGGGTGTTTTTTTAAAAGTGTGTAGTAATAATGCTGTTGTAAGTAATATTTTTCATGTCTTCTCTCTCTTTTTTTGCCTGTTCACTCCTCCCTAATATTATTTAGCAGACTTACTGTGATGGATGTTCATGGAATTATAAAACTGTGTAGTCACGGAAAAATAACAGTTTGGGGACTTTTTTCTCTCTGAATTATCAATTTGCTGTAAGAGGAATTATAACAGGGAGAGGGGAGTTCATGATTCATTTCTGAAATTCTACACAGTTCATTCTTCTATTATTTCCAATGTTTGCTGACATGAAATTAAAACAAATCAAGCCATTATGTAATGCAACGTGTGTTAAAAGCCTCCTCATTCCAAACTGGATGGGACTGGGGCTTGTCTGCTTGCCAACTCCATGGCATTTCCATCAATTGACTTGTAACCTCACATTTTCAAAGGAAACGTGGTTGTTGCCGGAGGAGCTGTCCAACAGCATAATCCCTCAAATTCAAATAGTGCTCTCTATCGTGCGACTGCGTGTGTGTAAGCATAACTTCACTTGGGTTCTCCGCTTGCTTGTGGTTCCAGAACAGAGTTTCCATGAGCACAGTGTCGTTTCTGATAATGGAATGTCAGTGTTGGTTACTACGTATGAAATTGCTAACCTTGAGAGTAATAACATGGGAATTGAAGGCATTTAATGGTGTATTAGTTATTTTTTAGCAGCAACAACTTATATCAGTTGCACAAAATCAGTCAAGCCAAGCAGGGAATCACAACAACAACACAGCATGCCCCTGCCCTAGCCAAGCCTTTCCCAGAATGGTGTCCTCCAAGTGTTTGGTATAAAACTCCCATCATCCCCATTGGTCTGATCTCATTTCAAGAAAGAAATCCAATTATATTGAAGTTCTGTAAACTCCATAGCTAGAGGTGAATGAACGTTGATGGTCCTTGGTCAACCAGAAACCTGTGGTCTTCAGGTCTTTCTCCAGCTCAGAGCTGGAGTGGGAAGCAGAGGCTCACTTTGACTGATGTTCTGAGTGTCCCTTAGCACAGAGACAAACCTCCACCTTCACATTTCCACTCAGAGCTTAAGTGGAAAGGAGTAGGTGTATCAGCACAAGCAAGCCATGAAATGGTGAAGATCTGAATGTTGGTTTTCTGTCACTGGGCATGTGTGTGCATTGCCCAAGGTCAGTAGAAGTAGTCAATAAGGCAATAAGTCCCCTTGAGTGAAGCAAAAAGATGGTCTTAAACCATAAAGCATGGTGCAAAAGAATTTCAAAGTACAATGTGAAGAGTGGGCTTTAATGGTATTAAGCACAAGAGTTCAGCTATGAAAACAAAAAGTAAAGTAAGAGAGAAAGAGCAATGCTTACATCTGTGTTGCTGTCAGGAGTACCTCAGAAGAACAACCATGGATGGACTCCGGGAATGGATTGGTAAGTGGCACCTTCAGTCTTCAAGTCTATATCAAGGTTTGCTCTGACAGTGGTTTCTCTGCAAATTGGGTACTATAAAGCTTTTGATCACCTGATGGATGTTCTGAGTGTAGTTAAAAAGTTTGATTAGTTCTTGCCTTCCTCCAACGTCAACAATTTCACCATGCTAAGGCCAACACAGGCAGCTGGTGTCATCCTGACTACTCTCCAGGTGTCAACTTCGATGGATGCCAAAGTCTTCAGCATCTTATTTCTGAGCAGTAACACCTCAGGCCTGCAACTAACTGTTATGGGATAGCCTAAGCACAGTGGTCAATGCATTAGTGTCCTCAAGCTCCACATTGACGGCCAGTTATCTACCAAACCATGTTCAAGCTGTCAGCTCAGGACCAGATTCTTGGAGGGACTGCCTTCTTCCATGCAAGCCACCCTGGTTTTGTTCACTTTACTATGACCCCCTGGTGTCTGTTCAGGCATGGTGCAAAAGAGGACCTTCTCTGTTATATCCATGGTGCAGAACAATCTGCTCCTTGAAATCAGATGTGCTTTTAGGACAACTCAAGACACATTTCTTTTCCTGACTGCTAGAATTGTCCTTAGTTATTTTAATGATAGTTTATTGTTTCATCACTGTTCTATTGATTGGTTTTATGGTATTTTGTCATGTTTTTATCTTGCAAACCATTTCAGGGTGGTGGCATTATTTAAGGAAAATTATATAAACATATCCTGAAAAAACACCAAACTATGTCCTAAGCATATGTCGACCATTCCAGGCAGCTATGTGCTTTTGTTAATAATAGGTATTCTAGCAAGTGTCAAAAGATTCCAAATGAGCTTTGGATTCTCTTCAAGTGCTGAGCATTTCGGATAACCAAGAAAAATCACTTGAGGCTGAAGAGGAATGCTGTATCCAATAATCCGTTCTGACGTCTCTATCCCACCCTCCCAACAATAAATCCTCACATGTTTATAGTTCCACCAAATACATAAAAAGTGTATATCCCTCAGATTATACTGTCAGCACATTTTTGGACAACTGTAGAGATTACTCTGTTTTTCAGGAATGTGATATTGTTGGTGTAATGTTAACAAAGTCATTTCAGGTTCAGACCTAAAGATGCAACCTCTGCAAACCTGCATTTTTGCTGGAAAGTGATTTTTCTTAACATCTGGAGATACAATGACATCTTAGATGTCACAGTTGGTAAATGAATATTCTTTAGGGGACTTTTTATACTCTGATCAAAAGGTCTTTAGCTCCACTGTCTCACATTTATGTCATAAAACATTTTATTTGTGCATTGAAACACTTGATGTGTTCAATATAATACTGTCTGGTTTTCAAGCTCTTCAAAATAATTGGAGATATCTTTGGCTTTTTGCAAAATTTGGTTGCCTGTTAAGTTCTGGAAATGACCCTGTAATAATCTTGGGTCTTGCCAGTGAGACCCAAATTATATCTTTTTTTACACTGATACTTTCTAAAATGTGATTCACATAATTCAACTACAAAATAGGGTTTAATTCATATTGCAGGCTTCTGTCTTTGTGGATTGTGTACAGATTGTTCCAGTAAGTTATTTTCAGCATGCCTGCTGACATCTGTGTGTCAATTACAGGGCATCAGAGTTAGTATAAGCATTTTCTCAAGTTTAATTGGGGGGGGGGTATCCCCTAGCTGTGCCTTTTGGAAAGGAAGCAGGGGAGATACTTTGAAAAATCTGCATATGAAATGGGCTTGTATGGCATGTCAATATCCAGAAAGCCCTATGGTCTTTTGGAGTCCCAGCTCCAATGTTGGAGCTGCCACTCTGCGCTGGGAATGCCCTCTGCCCCCTTGCAGGAGCGTGGAAAGAACCGTGCCCCCCAGTTACCCCAAAGTCTTCTGGGTGAGGGGACTGGTGCCACCAGAACATTGCTGCTTCCCTCCCTCCTGCCCCAGCACCACAATTAGCTGAAAGCGGCTGCCTCACTGCTTCATAGGGTGGGGGGAGCGTAAAGACTAGCCTGGCTTTCACTGTTCTCTCCTGCACAGGATGTTCGTAAGTCTCTGAGTTTGGAAGGTTGCAGGCATCCCCACAGGACTCTGCCGTAACAGTGCAATTATCTCCATGTTTGTGCAGAATTAAGCCCCTTTCTATTCAGTGGTGCTTGACCCCATGTCATGGCCACTGAATTGCAGAGCGAGTTTTTTCAATGCCCTGACCACAGTCCATACTTTTCCATTTCCGACAGCATTTCTTCCATTGCAGTAAGGAGGAGGGGGTTCAGTGGTGGGACACCTGCCTGGCTCCTTTATTCTATCCAGCTGATTCACCAAGGGATTATAGGTGGTGAGGGAAGGAAGCTGAATCAGTTTCCCAGGCTGGGCTGCCCAGAGGTTTGGATACCCAGCACTTCTGAAGAATTGCAGTGAAAGAGCAGGATCTGCCTGCTCCTGAATGCCATGTGAGCCACAAGTAGTGAATGTTTTAGAGGCCTGTTGTGGTGGAGCCTGCAGGCCTGGCTATAGGGCAGAAACAGTTTTGCAACCTCTCCATGGTTGAGTCAAGAGAAGGAAGAGTAGACCAAAGAACAGAGCAAAACACTTGAAAGACAGCAGCTTTATTTTTACTCTAAAGTAAGCACAGGGCCTCCAGTCCTTACTATAATGGTGGCTTTCACTCTTAATGCCTGCTGTGGGGTCAGTCTATCCTAAACCCCTCCCATGCCGGAAATTTCTATTCTGAAATGGCAGTCTAGTTGCTTTATTTATTCCCTTAATTTTTTTGATGTCTGCTTTGGCCCCAAGCAGGTGCTGCGGCATGCACCAGACTGGAAGTATTCACATACTTAAGGTTTCTGGAACACCGGGACAAGGTCAAACATGAGAATGGAGGGTAAAGGATGTACTTCATTGGGGTGGGAGATCCAGGGAGTCCTCCTCGCTCCAAAGAAGTGAAATGCCAAATTTTCAGTCATGCTTGTGGGTATTTATAGAAACTTCCCTGTATCAATGTACCTATTTCCTAAGATCTTGTAACCAGAAGCAGTTGTAGAGCAGAATAAGCAACATTCTGAACGAGCTCCTAGCCAAGGGCCTCCTTCAGAACAGAGGTAATGTGCTCGATGTGGGACAAAGTACCATGATCATCAGACATTGATCCCAAGAGCAGTGGGAGCCATTGCTACTGCTCAATTTTTGTTGTGCTGTTACATGCCATCAAGTTGTCATCAACTTTATGGCCACTCTGAATGAATGCCATCCTGAATGCTGTGTCCCTGGCAGCCCTGCTCTGTGCCTGTAGACTCAAGGCTGTGGTGTCACTTAAGGAAATGATCCATCCCATATTGGTTCTTCCTCTCCTGCCTTCTACTTTACCAAGCATTACTGCCATGCCTTCTCATGATGTGCCCAAAGTACAACAGCTTCAGTCTCATCATTTGTGCTTACAGGACAAGTTCTGGCATGGTTTGATCTATGGCCCACTTATTCATCTTTCTGTCAGTCCAGATTATTCATGAAGGTCTCCAGCAACATGTTTCAAACAAATATATTTTTTCTTATCAGCTTTCTTCACTGTACCTCTTTCGCACTCATATCATGAACAGGAATACAATAATGTAAATAATCTTGGCCTTGGTCTCCAGTGAAATGTTCTTGTACTTGGATGCACAACTTAATGTGTGAGAGGGTCTGAGATTGCCAGAGAAGCTGAGAGCAATGCTGCCAGGAGGCCAGGCTCTCTCTCCAGCCTGGTCTCCTAGCAAGGTCACCCAAGGCAGAATGGTCAAAGCGGAGGCACCAGACTGAGATGCCCCACCTTCAGAGGAGCGGTCACATCAGCAGTAGAGAATGAAGCTCTCTAATGGTGATGGGGCCAGAGAAGGGCAACCCCTGGGCAGCAATGGTAGCTGAAGGTG